ATCCTCCTGGAGTTTCAGGTAAACACATACTGAAGCAGCGTTCTCAGCAGATTAGGTGAAGAAAGGTCATAGACAGGTGACGAAAAAAAGTTTCAGGGAAGCCTCACAGAACATAAGGTCCCTGCACTTGTGACCGGGTCAGTGAACGTGGACGTTTCTCTTGAAAAGTCAAGTTCTCTCAGAGAACACTCTTCAGTCAGAGAGTTGAACGAATGTGAAGTAGTTGAAAAGATACAAGGGTTTGGTTTTGTGAAAACAATTCTCCTCCTGTCGTTCTGCAAGTGGTTTTACTCAAGGCAAACACGTCACATTTTATATTTTAGAAAACATTACCACAGCTAGGATAACTGACTATATTGTTTCCTGTATGTTATCATATTTACCTGTAAACCTAAGCTACTGCACAGGTTCTAAAGCTTTATTTTTCAATCTTGGGGTCACGACCCCATGTAGGGGTCGCCTGGAGTTCACATAGGGTTGCCTGAAAAAAAATACTGATAAATATTATTATGATTGAAAACACTGAACACAATCTTAAACAGCTGTATTCTTTACATTTAATGTCCAATATTATCAATATTATCAGCCCAGAATTAGCATAATTATGTAATATCTGCAAAAAAAGTCTTTATGGTCGCCAGAAATTTGCATTAATGTTTAGAAAACTAATCTTCACACCACATGTTTTCCGTGGTTAAATTACGAGGTGGATTTTGACGTGCTTCTGTGTCCACGCTTGCAGACACCTTCACACTCGACAAAACCATGAAAGAGCCGTGACGTGGATTTCAGCTCGTTGCATCACTCGGAGTGTGAGAGAATCTGAATCCGACATCTGTTAACGATGAAGCTTTGACAGGGTTTATGAGTCAATCTGTGGTCTACACACTTTTTTTACTACGCCTGACATATTGAAAAAAATCCCAATAAACAAGATCTATAAATCATAATATTATCGGCCCGATATTAGCATAATTATCGGTTTAAAATATATAAATATATACTATAAAATAGTTATGGAAAAAAACGACTGTTTATGAAAGTGAAAGCCACTAGATGGCAGCATTGCAGCTCATTTTTAAAATCTATTTTAATAATCAGGGGTTTGGGAGGAGGGAGGGTGTAAAAAACTTCTGTCCACTGGGGGGGCATGGCAGAAAATAATTGTGACAGTGCTTTAACCCATCACCTTAGTGAGCAGGCGGCCACCACTGCCCTGTATATCGGTATCGGTTGATATCGGAAAAAAGTGAATTGAATAAAGAATAAGGAGAAAACAAGAGGCTAGCTAACTAGATAGTCATGTAATAAACGTGATATAGGGACATTTTGTCCTACAAAGTTTTTCATTTCACGAGACGGTCACCGCAGCAACGGGCATGCCAGATTGTGCCACTGCTGAAAAACAGGCAGTTTGTTTGGCAGCCGGTCAGAAACAGAAACTTCCAGTCATAGCTAGGACATCTCCAGAGCCTCGTTATGAGACTCGTTAGCAGCAAGTCATATTCTTATACTGGAGTGTAGGTAGAGAGCCCACTTCATCAGAGTTACATTCTTTCACAACTAGGTCTGTTTGAGGCAGAGTAAGTCTCTGTGAGGTGAGCCATGCCGTAAAAGTGGACAGCCTGCTTCCAATCCGATCATAAAAAAAAAAAATATATATTCTCGTAGTTTCTGATTGGACCTTAATCCCAGACAGCGCCGTTATCTTATAATTACCCACAAGGAAATATGCAGGGATTGTATCAGTTTGGATTGGAATTGGAAAGGGGAAAACGCCCATCCTGTTCAAACCCCGACAGCCGTTTGAACAGAGTGCTGGATTACACCGCTGAAACACAGCAACTGAAGACCAGACAGGGAATATTCTGGGTTCTAGGCCAGTGGCAGTTCTGATGTTACAGACAGGTAAATGAGCTCAAAAAAAGAAAAAAGAAGACTACAGCAAATGTGACAAATATCTACAGTTTTTACAGTTTCGGTTGTACAGTAATCACAACCTTTCCTGCAAAAGGGGAGGAGAAGGGGAGCAGGGGAGGGAGGCAAGGGATGCCAGACCCTGGAGACAATTTAAAGGGCTTTGAATAATTAATCCTGCTTTTGGGGATTACCATGATTCACACGTGTTATCATGACTTAAAGGATGTATTGAGGAGGGCAAAGGTCGAGACTATCCTCCTTGAAAATAAACTGAAAAAAATAGTAATATTTCTACAGTCAATATTAAATCGATGCTACAGTTTGTACTTCAAAGTGCCTATATCACCTGACAAAAAAAGGATAATATGGAAAACTGCCCCTTAAGACCCCTAGTGGAAATACAGGTACCTGATCATGCACTATGGCTGAGCAACTCAAAACCCAGGCTCAGGGAATGATGCCCAGAAGTGAATTTAAAAGACAGTTGTGTTAAGAACAAGACAAGTAAACTTTAAGGTAAGAGTAAAGTCCCCACGGCGTCAGTACAAGTTTACACTTCAGTAAATTCTGAGTTCCTTTCGGTACTTTGCTAAGTGTAAAGTCAATGTGCATTAAACCTTAATACCGCTCTTAGTCTTGAGGGAAGACGTTGTGCTCACGAAGCCTTCAGCTGCTGGAGGATTATTGTGTTTCTTTAAAACTGTTGGGTGCTTAAAATTAGGCCCAAAAAAAAAAAAAAAAAAAAAAAAAAAAGAAAAAGGCTGAATGATTTGATAAAAATGTCGAAACGCAATTAAACTGGCCCAATAACAATAACACAAAAAGTATTAGACGTGCCCCAACAGGTTACAATATTATTAAGATTGTGTCACTCTGTATAATTTAATATTTTTCACAAATTATGTTGTTATTGAAAATCTTTGGATCAAGTTATGTGGAAAACATGAGAAGAAGAAAAGTATCAAAATGTATTACAACATTTAACTAATTTTATTATTTAGATAATCCATTATTGACTTAATGTAGTCACTTGATCTAGTGGTAAGAGAGTTAGACTTCTATTTTTAAACGTTGACCAAATAAACTCTTTTTAATTTTTTTTCCTGCAGAATATCGCCGTCTTGTGGACAAAGATAGCACAACCGACTTCACTCTGTGAAGTGTTTGGCAGATATAACCGCAGCGTTCCAACCGTTTCTGTTGCTGAAGCTTTAGCTTTTGTTATACTACTATTAAGTAGCAAAATTATTAACTTAATTAAATGTGTCACTCCGCTAACCTACCCTTGTGGATCTTTCGATAGAAGACGAATTAAAAAAATTAAAATATTGATGAATTATGATAAAAAACCGATTTAAAAAAGATTATACCTCAACCTTTAATAAATCTGCAACTTTTTAATATCTGTGTAGCGAAAGCAGCTAAGCTATATCCGTCAAAACGAGTGTTGCACAGTTAGTTGTGCTTTTCTCTACACAATGTCGCCAGTAGACGGCGACATTATGCAGAAAATACAAAATGGGGGAACAATACGTTTTCCTCGCTGTTTTTTTGTAACTGCCAGGTTTCCCAACAACTTTAAAAATAATAGTAATAATGTTTATTATATTTGGGTGTTTTTATACAAAATGTGATAGGACAATAATATATTGTAAATATTCAGGCAATGAAAACTTGAAAAAGCAGTGATTTTTAAATGTTCAGTGTGCAGTCCTCCAACAAACAGTTTAATTTTTATATTCATGAATGTATTTAACCTGTGAAAGTTGTCTTCTGTGTTTGCAGGATTTTATACCACCAAATTAACACAAAATTCAAAAAAACATACTTTATTTCAAATTTCTGCAATAGGGGCCACTAAAAACAAGCTGCAGTGACACACAGGCCCCGAGTTAAACGCACATTGATAGAAAATATTCTTGGGTTTTTCTTTTAAAAAAGAAAAACAAAAATCACAAATAACATAAAATCCCAGGAGAACTTATGGATGAAAAATTGGAACGCAGCGCTGTGGAGCGTTGCTCAGTCAACAGAAAAAAAGGAACACTTTTTTTTTAAGAGCACAGTTTGGTACGGCTTTCCGACCTTCTCTCGAAAACAAAGAACTTTTAGGAATACGTGGAAAACTAACAATTGAACAGGGGAGATGTCAACTTTTCCCCTCCATTGTACAATGTGAAAGGTGGCGTCGGGGTTATGCAGCCGGTGAAGAAAAAAAGACTGCAGTGAAGACACACGCACACACACACATCAACATGCACCACATGCCTACGCAGTCAATCACTGACTGACTTCCTGTGAAAATTGGGGAGGACAGAGCACGCCGTGGTCACTGACTAACAAACACACCGATTACCTGACAGGGCAAAATTTCCAGCTGACTACAGGAAAACTAAAACAAGAGCAAACAACAGGACAAACGTTCAGACGCTTTGTACAGTTCATAGATGTCGGATCTGTTCTTGTTTCAATTCGTCCAAGTTCCAAAAAAGAAGGTGGAATGAAGCTCCAGAGAGACGAACGACAGAAGATAACTGCTTTTCAGATTTAGCTTGACTTATTCGGAGAGCAACACAACTTCACACCCATTGTTTGAACGCTTAAAATATATATATATATTTATATCCATATCTTAAAAAAAATGTTTAAAACAATAGCAAACTGTTAATTACATAAAAACACTCTGGAGCGCCATCACACTGAATTACCATCTAGGAACAAAAATAAGCCACAATTTAGATTCTGGTCAAACTAAAGGCAGAAATCCCGACTGGTGGCACTACGTTTATGCTTAAAAGCAAACAGGAGTCAGTCCAGTCAACCAACTACAGTGCATTTTGAAGGTGATTCTCATGTATGGGGCATTTTTGAATGACCTATGACCCCCTGCATCAGGGCAAGTCACGTCGCCCTGGTCCACTACACCCGTACCATGTGAATGTGAATTCAAAAGGAGGACGAGACAAAACAAAAGGTGAAATGATGCTTAGCTCACAGGCTTTTCCTTCCCTGTAAGTTTCTCGTTGGACATGTCAATTTTACAGTACCCTCACAGTCCTTTAGGCTTGTCAGAGTTCTCAAAGACTCCAAAGAGATTTTCCTGAAAGATTCCAGTTACAGGATATGGAAGGATACTGAAGAGTCTGCTAACATAGGAGGAGTTTCAGAGTTCCCGCTCCTGATTTTGCTTTTTTCTAATTCACCACTCAGCATCACCGATGGCTTTGGAGAAGACATAGTCTCTCCCATTCAGGTTCATGATTCCATCTTTCAGATAGAATTTCCATTTGTTCTTACTTCTGTGAATCTGAGGAGCAAAGGAAAAAAGAACCTCAGTTATGAGAAGAAAAGAAACTAACAACTGTCGACCACCACACGGTAGTTTTAGGCAAAACCATCATCTTGACTAACAACATCTGGAGGTTCTGCTGATATTAAGAACTCATTCATTCAGTTAGATAGACTGAATATACTGTCAATTTTGTCAAACTACTGTCAAAAATCACGTTTGTGCAGAAGCAAATGTCAAGGTGCGTCTTAGTTCAGCTTCCGCAGACTTGGCCGACGACTGTACCGATATTTGCTTTAGCATTTTGTGGACTCGAACGTATTTTCAGTGAATGAAGGACTCTGGGAAATGTCAGTGAACAAGTAATATTCTGTGGGGGAAGAGTAGACAACATAAAGACTGTTTGTGTGGAGACCAGAGTAAAATGATCGTCTCAGGCAGAGCGAGGAAAACCCTTTAGGCATAGATTAGGGGCAGACAGTGCTGCTGCATCTGTATGACCTTCAAGTCCTGAGTTTGTACTATGTAGAAACCACATGGGTTTATGACTACTTTAGAAAATATTTATCTTTAAACCAAGCATGAAAGAAATCCTTTTGAATATTAGTTAACAGTCAGTGAACAATTGGTCTCTCATTTTCGTAGTTAACAGTCAGTGAACAATTGGTCTTCTCTCATTTTCAGCATCAAAATCTAATTTCATTTAATAGTAGCGGTCACGACTTACCTTGTCATATTGGCACACTACTACATTCTCTGTATCAAACAGCTCCTGGTCCTCTTCATCACTCACATCGTCGCCGCTGTTCAGTGGCTCCTGGCGGAGGGACACAGAGGAGAAAGGTTTGTCATCTGTTGCTCGGAGTCAAAGGTACAGAGTGGTACTGTTCTGTGTCCATTGCGGGGACAGACGTATGATCATGACATCAACAGACAGACAGCAGGATTTCTTTCGTGCCCACCTCCTCCACCTGCCCGTCCTCCGCATCCTTGTCCTTCTCCTCCTCTTCATCCTCATCATACTCCTCCTCATCCTCGTCGTCATCTGATGAGGTGTCTCCGGCCCCGTCTACCTGCAGCATCAGCGGGGGCTGCTGTGCCTGAGGTTGAGCCTGGGCCTTGTTCTGAACCTGGGCCTGCTGCTGATGGGCCTGTGGTGGAGCGGCACCCTGTACCTGATGTACCTGCTGGACCAGAGCTGCCGTCGTTGTCGCCTGACCAGGCTGCTGCGCCGTAGTCGCTGCCTGCATCACCTAATGGAAAAGAAAGGAAACGGAAAGAAAGCAGAGTGGA